TATGTTTTTCGAATAAACTCGTCCAGATCTATATCCCAGAATTTTTAGGCAATTTTTCAGGGATCTCGAATTTCCAATGAATTTTCCGACCTTTTAGTGAGGTTTTCAGATACTTAAAAATACCATTTTCAGATCGAATTTTCCGAAAATCTTAGATCAGGACCTTTAATAAATATGTTTTTCGAATCAGCTGCTCGGATTTATATCTCCGAATTTTTTGATGATTTGATTTTTTTTGGACAGTTTTCAAGATTTCTACATAAAAATTTAATTGTGATAATTTTCGAATCGAATTTTTGGAAAATCTTGGTCCTGTAGCACCGATACTTTATGTTTTTCGAATAAACTCGTCCAGATCTATATCCCAGAATTTTTAGACAATTTTTCAAGGGTCTCCATTTTCCAATAAATTTTCCGACCTTTTAGTGACGTTTTCAGATACTTAAAAATACCATTTTTAGACCGAATTTTCCGAAAAACTTAGATCAGGACTTTTAATAAATATGTTTTTCGAATTAGCTGCTCGGATTTATATCTCCGAATTTTTTGAAGATTTTTTGGCAGTTTTCAAGATTTCTAGATAAAAATTAAAATTTGATCATTTTCGAATCGAATTTTTGGAAAATCTTGGTCCGGTAGCACCGACACTTTATTTTTATCGAATAAACTCGCCCAGATCTATATCCCACAATTTTTAGGTAATTTTTCAAGGATATCCATTTTCCAATGAATTTTCCGACCTTTTCGTGAGGTTTCCAAATACTTAAAAATACCATTTTCAGACCGAATTTTCCGAAAATCTTAGATCAGGACTTTTAATAAATGTTTTTCGAATCAGCTGCTCGGCTTTATGTCTCCGAATTTTTTGATGATTTTCGGGCAGTTTTCATGATTTCTAGATAAAAATTTAAATTTGATCATTTTCGAATCGAATTTTTGGAAAATCTTGGTCCGGTAGAACCGACACTTTATCTTTTTCGAATAAACTCGTCCAAATCTATATCCCAGAATTTTTAGGCAAATTTTCAAAGATCTCCATTTTCCAATGAATTTTCTGACCTATTAGTGAGGTTTTCAGATACTTAAAAATATTGTTTTCAGACCGAATTTTCCGAAAATCTTAGATCAGGACCTTTAATAAATATGTTTTTCGAATCAGGGCTCGGATTTATATCTTAGAATTTTTTGATGATTTTTGGGCAGTTTTCAAGATTTCTAGATAAAAATAAAAATTTGATCATTTTCGAATCGAATTTTTGGAAAATCTTGGTCCGGTAGCACCGACACTTTACGTTTTTCGAATAAACTCGTCCAGATCTATATCCCAGAATTTTTAGGCAATTTTTCAAAGATCTCCACTTTCCAATAAATTTTCCGACCTTTTAGGATTTCAGATACTTGAAAATTCCATTTCCAGACCGAATTTTCCGAAAATCTTAGACGAGGACCATTAACAAATATCTTTTTCGAATCAGCTGCTCGGGTCTATATTTCTGAATTTTTTGACTATTTTTGGGCAGGTTTCAAGATTTCTAGATAAAAATTGAAATAAGATGATTTTCGAATCCAATTTTTGGAAATCTTGGTCGTGTGCCACTGGCACACTTTATGTTTTTGGAATTAGCTCGTCGAAGTCTATATCACAGAATTTTTTAGGCAACATTTCAAAAATCAAATTTTTCACTTTTTCGAGGTTTCGAGATTTAAAAAATATATCAATTTCACACCTTCTTCGAAAATGTTAGACGGGTACAATTAACAATTATGTTTTTCGTATCAATTGCTCAAAATCTATATCCCAAAATTTTTTGAGAATTTTTAGACACTTTTCAATGATTGCAGCAATATGTGTATGTAAAAAAAATCATTTTGAAATCCAGTTTTTGTAAACTTTTGACACTTTAGTTTTTGGAATCATCCCTGAAGGACAATCAAACAATCCAAGAATGTTCTCAATTTCAGTGCAACTGATTCCTTAGTTCCGGGGTAAAATGTAGCACAATTTCGAATTTTTTTCCAAAAATGTGGATATCTAAGGTAAAATATAAGGACGAACTTACAAACCACAAATAAAAAAGCAGAGATTACACAAATTTTGATTAACGTTTCCAACGTTATCTATTTAATAGATAGACGAAAGATAATTGGAAATGGGAGACCTACTTTTGCCTAGGAGTTACAAAATGTCGACAAACATGAAATTAAGACCCTAAATAAATTGTTGTAGAGAAGGACAATCAAACTATTCGATTTTCCAAGTTTAAAATTTGTTCTAATGAATTTTATTTTTTTGTGGTGATTCTTACAACTTAAAATAAAAATAGCTCTGGATTATAGAACTACAAGTTTTTCATAGTAAAATTGGATGATTACGTATCAAGTTTGCAGTGGGGATAAACATACTATAGAGCGCGGATGGGCGGGGACAGTACCTGCCAAAATCTGTTTTATATTAGCATCTACTAGCTACGATAAGACTAATTTTGGCTAATGAGATACCTTCTAAGAAAAGAGAGGGTGGGTGGGCGGGCTTGGTTCCTGATAATTTAAGATCGACTTTGGCACAAGACATACCCTCGAAGAAAATAGAAGGCGGGTGGGCGGGGATAGTGCCTGCTAAAATCTGTTTTATCTTACTAGATACTAGATCCGCCCACCCTCTCTCACGTTTCTTAGAGGATAAGTCATTTGCCAAAGTCAGTTTTATCAATCGGGATTTATCTACCCGCCCACCCGCCCTCTCTTCTCTTAGAGGGTATCTCATTTGCCAAAATCAGTGTTATCTTGGCAGCTGTTAGCCCCGCCCACCCACCCTGTCTTTTCTTATAACATGTGATGATGCAATTTGGATTTTTTTACGAAAATCTGGAGCCCTAGAGTAAAAATCAAGGCGTTTTCATAAACCACAAGTAAAGGAGTACGTTATTTTATAAAATTTAAATGGTGCACAAAAAAAAATGACAGCATACCATCATATTGTTGGTGGGGATGATTAGCGAAATTTTCGTTAGCATTTTACAATCAACATTATATGCCTAACGTACACATGAAATTTGACAACAATGGCTCCAGTAGTTTCGGAATTTCATCTATGTAATAAAAATTCGACACATGAGACAGACGGCAGACAACAGGCAGACAGACAGACAGATAGTCAGACGAAAACGGGAGACCTATTCTTTAGTATTCTAGTGAGAATTGACAAATCAGCAATACAGAAGCAAATTTTTCTATAAAATTAAATAGAATTTATGTGAATGATCAAAGAAATTAGTCAGCGTATCAAAAATTGTCTCTTTAATAACGGGAGACCTACTTTTACGTACTATAGGAACTACGAAACGTCGAGAGTCGCGAGCTTACACCCAGCAAGTAAAACTTTTATAAGTAAACTGTTTTTATCAAATAAACAAAAATGTATTGAGGGTATTTTCAAGATAATATATAGGATTACACAATCTCGCATCAGCATAACGGTACAACTAAAATTATTTATTGAGCTAGAATGGAGTAAAACGTTTTAAATATTGGAATCTAATGGAAGGAATTGTTCCAGATTTTCTAGACAGTACTTTTATATTAGTATAAAATTGGAAAATCAAAGCAGATTCATCAACGACAAGTACAGAATTATGTTATTTTATAAAATTTAAATGAAATGCATTCGTCGGTTTGTTAGTTTCGAAAATTGTCTATCCAATAATAATAGTTTGGGGCGAATTTTTTGGGATATTTTTAAAAAAATCTTGTTAAATTTACACACAAAAAAGAGAATATTGAAAATGAAATCTATTGTTGCCAATCTTCTAACGAGGTTAGGCTGAATTTTAATTAATAAATTGAATTATGCGACAAACAATAACATCCCCACCGATATAGAGTATAAAAGGAAAGGAAAAATTAATTTTATCGTCTATAATTTTAGCCATGAACTAAGCAAAACTTGTAATGCCAAAGATGTAGGTCATGAAGCCACTTACTGAATTTATTTACAAAAATCACCGATTCATAATATTCTCGGAATGCAGATATTCTTTATTATTTTTGAGCCGAAAATATCTTACGACGTGTCCCAGCTGTTCTTGAAGATAAATATCATCAATTTTGCAAATCGTGCAATATCATCTTGAAAACGATTTCCGCCGTGGAATTCTTAGCAAATTTAGCATCGAAAATGACAGTTCAGTACACACTTTTGCTTTTCATAGAATTTAACCATACCTGGTGACACCAACTTTAAACTAACTAAAAACTGTGATGGGCTGTGGCACAGGAAAGGCCAATACCTAGCACCGCCCCTGCTTCCCTCGTACCTTAAACTCCTCACTCGTGCGTAATACACTTTTGACCATTCCCGGTATCTACCACACTTTTAAAAAAGGAACGGGGTTGTTTTAAAAAACGTAAAACTTGGTATTAAATAGTGGAAGCATCTTCACCGAGATTTTAAGAAAACGCATTTTAAACGAGTAACAAAGTTGTGGTTTAATAGTTTGAAGGTTACGTTGCGAGCTTTTTCCGTATCTTCGGTTGCATAACGTCGATCTCTGTAAATAATCATAAGTCTTCATCTCGCGCCTGTCATTTCAATAATTCCGAATGTGGAACCGCGTGTCGAAAATAATCCGTTCGTTGCACCTTCTATTTTCGTCGTACCCCACGCCAGGCAGGTCCGGCTGCAATCATATTCCGGAAATTTCGCGAACGGACCCAATTAGGGGGTTCGTTTACCCCAGATCCAGCGTGACCCTTTGGGTCTGTGGCGCAGCGTGGAGGCGTCTACGAGAACATCAGCATCCATGGTCGTCTGGATGCAAAGGGAGGGGCAGAGCATCGATCGGGAGTATCCCGGCGGATGACGTCACCTCAGGTCCAAACACACACCGTGCCGAAAATCCCGAAGGCCGAAATTCCGGGAGAACCGGCCGGAAAAGTCCGGATTTTCGCGGAGGAAGGGTGCCGGCTCGGCGCGTGCAGGAGACGTGGGGGCGGCGGCCTACCTCCAGGTTATTCCAGTTCTGTGCATTGATTTTGGCGGCTTCGACGCTCCCTTTTGCTCCCATCTTGCGTTGTCGGCGAAAACGGTAAAAAACTGACACTAAATGCGCCGGCACGGGGGCTGCGGCATGGGGGCCGAAGCGGGAGAACGGTCACGTGGTCGGGCCCCCTCGGCACGGCGGCTGCGATGCGCTCCGGTCGCCCCGGAAAAAACTGTAAATAAATATTTGCGGTGGTTTGACCACGACTCGAACGACACTTGGGTCAGACTGCTGTTCGAAAGCTCGCCGCCAGAGGCGCCTCTGCGCACGCGTTCCAGACTTCGCCCACTTTTCCTTCTTTTCCAGAGTAAATAAAGAGTGGAGTAATTGAGTTTGGGGACGAATTTTCTATCGAACACGGCATCGCCGAAAGGATACGAAACGGACGGACGAAGGAACTTGACACGAACGCACCGAAAGCTCCGGAGCGGACCCGGAACCGGGGGGCACCACTTGAGCCCCACCGAAAAAATACTCAATCCCTCATATCTAGTTTTCGAATTTTGGAACATTTTGTTTTTCGTTATTCGCAAGTAGCAGAACACGAAAACGCAGATTTATCGTTTCCGTCTGTCTGTCTGTTCACTATATGTATTAAATGGTATAATCTCTGAAATTTTTAATTTTTGGATGTACAAATGTTGAGAACAATATCCGACATGACCTGACTTGATTTGACCTGACTTGACCTGACCCGACCTGACCTGACCTAACCTGATCTCCCTCCAAAATCGTAATGACGTCATCGCTCAAAATTCTAAAAATTCCCCTAAAAATTAATTCCTAATTCTGTATATGCAATACACAATACATCAATGCAACAAATTCTAGTTCTGGCTACAACAAACCAAAATTTCATTCTTATTCGTGTTCCTAATTGACAAAACATAATTAATTATCATTGCAGTGTAATTTGTAAAAATTAGGCATCAGAAATTTTTGGAGTTCAAACCACCTCTCCTAGACCGAAAAAGTAAAATTTCCGCCGCCACCTGGGTCGCACCGCCGTCCCCGTCGCCGCCGCGCCTGCGCCGCCGCCTTCGCCCACTTTTCCTCTTTCCCGAGTAAATAAAGAGCGTAGTAATTGGGTTCGGAGCCAAATTTTCAATTGGCCGGCATCGGGGCCGAACGCGAATTTATGGGGACGGTCCGGTTAATTGCGTGAGGTCCGGAGGAGGGCCGGAGCGCACCTCCGGGAGGCCCGACCGGAGCGCTCCGGTAATTAGGAAGAGCGATAGGCAAATAGTTGTTTACGGGTTATCGATTCAAAGTTTGAGCAACATCGGTGTCATCGGTGGCACGCCGGAACGACGGGCTTTTTAGGGCTTTCGGGAGGGGGCTGCGGGCATTTTCCGGGGAATTTTATGAATGGAAAGGCACTTAAGGAGGCTGGAAATGGCTCCGAAGGTGGTGTAGTGGCTAATGGTCAAGGAGATGGAGCGGCGCGATATGAATTTTGCTTTCTTAGGTGGGGTAATGGAGTGGAGTGAATGATGTGGTCGGGGCGACAGGCGTTATTGTGAATTTTGTACGTCGAATGGCGGGAGTAGTGGAAAACAAGGAAAATTTAAAGTTGGTTTTAACTCGATGGTTGAAAGCTAGATCATAAACAACAAACGTGGCATTCTGGTTGCCTGCCTCATGCATAATCAAGTGGCTTGTTTTATTATTTACATTTCTGATAGATTAGCGCATTAGTGATAATGAAATACGAGTTCATGCAGATGTGGATAATTTATTCTAATTAAAGTTCTCTAACGTCAATATCCACTACCCCTGTGATGAAATAATTACAATTTAAACACAGAATAAATTTATAGGTGATTTTTTATTTTAAACAATTTCTAGGTTTGTAAAGGGACAAAATTAATGTGTTTAAAGCACCTGCGAATAGGTGTTGGGTTTGTTTAATACCGCTTGTTTCTTGAGGTCAGTTGCTAACAAGAGCCAAAATTACTGTATTCTGTTAATTATGGCAAGCTTTATGTACCTCGCTACTCGATTTAACTGTATTCAATTGCTAGAATTAGATATAAATTAGGTGGAGGTGCTGGTTTGTCTTGAATGAGGTAATTTAATTGTCTAGTTTACAAAGGGCATATCTGTTTTGATTAATCTTGACCCACCGATGTTTTTTTTTTTTGTAACTGGTCTGATTTTGCTTATTTGATATCACTTAAAATTACGAAAGTCCCAAAATATATTTCTTTACATAAAGTTTGCATTATTGACATTATGTTTTGATTATTTTCTTTTCGAGATATTAAGAAAATAGTCTCCGAAACTACCGAACCTAGGTCAAGTCAGGTTATCCAAAAATAAAAAAATATCTGGCCAAGTAAATTAACTGATTATCTCAAAACCATATTTTCTGATTTTCTGAAAAAAAATATTGTATACATAAAAACATAAAAACATGGGTTCTAATGGAGTCGCCAACGGTTTGTTGTAATTTTAATGCTTTCATAAACTTTTTGTTTCCGATTTCAAGAATTCATGAGCTTTTTCACCTGAAATTTTGATTACTATATTTTCTGATTTATTAGTTATTGAAATCACATGCACCAACCATTAGTAGCTTCAATAAAATATCGATTGACCTGCATGGTCGTTTTTGTCGAATTTCGGTCGTGAATGCTTCGTCGAATTTATTGTATATTTATAGGGTATTTTGCGCAAAACTGACCACTACTGGCATAATTCGCAAACCTGGCGTATCAATTTGCGTGATATATCAAAGAACAAATTTTGTTATTATTGTCTCTTGCTCTTCTAGGAAGAGCTTCGATGTGTTAAATACACCGAGCCCTCCTACAACTTTTTTTTCGAGTTCTCTTCTTGTATCAATTAGTTCGTATTGGGTTTTCGGAAAGTGGATTTCAAAAATGTAAAAGTGTTTCAATCGTTGTTTATCATCTAGTATTTTGCGCCATTTTTACGAATGCCCAAAATCAAATCGTCTTTAAAGGACAAGTTCAGGAAAAGAACAAAAAACAAAGAGGTTTTTCAAATAGAAAACGACGAATCGTTCTCTAAAGCTTGTGGGAAAATTGTAAAGATAAATTATTAATGATGCACGATTCAAATGGGAAAACTAGTTATGAAATTAATTGCATAAATTCGCATAATAATGTAGCTATTTTTGAAAAATTAATGAATAAATAAAATATGTTGTTGTAAATTTCACGCCAAAAAAAATATCACGTGCTTCAAAATGAAAATACTGACATGCACAAAACAAATCGTGCTAAAGATACCAAGCAAACTATAATTTCCTTATTTCAATTATTAAATAACAACCATTTTTCTCGGAGCTGGATATAATTCTAACCTCAAATTCAGAATATAGTATTTTAAGTATTTCGCTGCTGAAAAAAGACCATGTATCTTACGAATAGAAAATGAAAGGATAAGCCCCACCCACCCGCCCCCACCTTACTTGTAATTATTTGTTTTATTTGTCATGATACTATAGGCGGAGCTAAATTAAGAATTTTATATTTCTTTACAAAAAATTATCTCGTAAAACATTTTTAAGTATCGAATCGCTGAAAAAAAAATATATGACATATTGTCATCTTTTTCTAAATATATATAGTTTTCTATCAACAACACGGTATTTAAAACATGTTCCACATGGTAATTTCTTACAAAGAAATGTAAACTTTTGAATTAAGCTCCGCGCCTATCGTCTGCCGGCAAATAAAAAAATTAATCACCATTGAAATGAGGGTGGGTGGGTGGGTGGGGCTTATCCATTGACCTTCTTTTCGGAAGATACATACTCCTCTTTTAACAATAAAATACTTAAAATGTCAAGTGGGGAATTTGACTGTTGATAAAATTATTATTAACACAATTATTTGCGTTTACAAATATACCGTTTAAGAAACTTAACAACAAAACATTGTGCTTAATTTTCGAGGGAAACGGCTAAAATAACATTCCTGGAAAATCAAATGTAAGAAAAAATTACTTATTTCAAGTTTACGATGATGTAAGTATTGTGTGATTGCATAGAAGTTTAAGACTGAGGACATCCTAATTTTTGCTATTTTATTTAAGTATTTAGTTACTTTATATTGTACCTTTGTAGGTCATTAATAGAGTTATTAGAACACATATTGGAGTGCAAAATATTTGGATAGCAGTAAATGAAACTACAAATTCTAATGGGCATTTTTCTTGGCGCCGGATATAATTCTAACTTCAAATTCAGCATTTGAAATTTTAAGTATTTCGTAGTTGAAAAAAGACCATGTAGAAAGTGAAAGGGTAAGCCCCACCCACCCACCCCCATCTCAATTTTAAAGACTTTTTATTTGCAATGAGACGATAAGCGGAGCTTAATTAAGAAATTTATATTTCTCGAGAGGAAACTATCACGTGAAACATTTTTTAAGTATCGTGCCGTTGAAAAAAAACTATAAGTCGAGAAAAAGAAGCCCAAAATTATGCCCCACCCACCCGCCCCGATCTCAATTGTGATCATTTTTTTATTCGCTGTGAGACCAAGGGGCGGAGCTTAATTGCAAGTCTCTATTAATGTACAAACAATTATTAAGGGAAACATGTTTGTGGTGTTATGGTATTGTTGAAAATGGACTATTTTGCGAAAAAGTACCGAAAGAATTTTCTTATTTTCTCAAAAGTAAAATTTGCAATTAAGTTACGCCCTCTGGTCTCACAACGAATAAAAAATTTATTACAATTGAGATCGGGTGGGTGGGTGGGGCATACTCTTCGTCATTTTTTTGTAAATCTATATAGTTTTTTTTCAACAACACGATACTTAAAGCATGTTTCACGTGATAATTTCGTATAAAGAAATATAAAATTTTCAATTAAGCTCCGCCTATCGTCTGCCGGCAAATAAAAAAAAATAATCACAATTGAGACGAGGGTGGGTGGGTGGGGCTTATCCTTTGACCTTTTCGTAAGATACATGCTCCTCTTTTAACAATAAAATACTTAAAATGTCAAATGATGAATTTAACTATTTTTAAATTTATTGTTAACAGTTATTTGCAGATACAAATATATCGTTGAAGACAGTTAACAACAAAATATTTCGCTTATTTTTGGAGATAACTGCAAAAATAATATTCTTGGAGAATAGAATTTAAGAAAAAATTACTGACCCCAAGTTTATCATAACGTAACTATTGAAAAAAGACCATGTATCTTACGAATAGAAAGTGAAAGGATAAG